TGGTTTTTTTTTTTTTTTTTTTAAATTAGAATTTAAGAATTCTATCAAAATGGGGATAAGGTATTCCACATATCCAGCCATAACAAGATACCTACAGAACACATATGTGGATATGATGCTATTTATCATGTAGGTTTTATGAGCCCCACCCTGCCCTGGCTACTGCATTCCTTAATATTTTGATATCCTCTCCTGCGTCCTCCCCGCCATGTTTGCTACTGCTTTCTTTAGTGCATCCTAAAACTTCAGCTCAAGAGAAAATTACTTGCAAGGAAAAGAACCGAATCCCACAATTCTGTGGTATTTCCTTAAGTTGGGTCTCAGGTTGCACACTGAAGGGATGGATGGATTTCTTCCAAGCACTTGTGAGATTCTGCTCACAGCAACCAAGGTTTAACGAGTACTGAAAAGTGCCCAGTTCTTAGGAAGCTGCAAAGCTGTATTGAATGTTTGTCACAGTTGGCAGTTACGGTATTAACTACCTAATGCATAAGCAGATTGTTGTAGTGCTCTAACTAATACACACTGAACAGTTGTACAGCCTTCACACAACGCAGGTCGCACTGCTCTCAGAAATAAATCTATGCTTCCATAATTACAACCTGGTTATAGTTTTTCCCGTAACCAGGTAATTTACTGAGAATGTAGTTCGGGAAAGAAACACTCGAGAGAAACAAACACGGGGAACGGTTTCTTCAGGCAGGATGCGCTCGTCGTGCGGCGGCGGCGGAGCCTGCGCGGGTGCGCAGGGCGCGCTGTGCGGTGACAGGCTGCCACCGCGCGTCCGGCTCAGCAGGGAGGCAAAGAACGCCAGGGCTCACGTGTGCGCTCCAAAACAAGCCCCAGAGTCGAACACATCTGGGTTAAGAATCTCCAAAATGAAGTTTGCTGCTCTGATACCATAACCATAAACTAAATCCTGCCCTGTTCCTATTTGCACTCCTTTTCTTAGGTCTTTAATCTGTGGAAGTGATGGATGATGTCTCTGAGTAGATAATAAAAAATAATAATAAAAATCCACGTGGTGGGGAACCCCAAGGATTATTTACTGCATGTCAATGAAATTCTGCACAAAATATAGAACTCGTTTTCTTGTGGACTTTTCTAATAGAGCTTTTATCACTACGCCTGCCAGCCTTGTGAAGAATAATTAGTGTTGTTTTTTTTTTTCAGTATGTCTAGGAACTGACATGGTGCTATTCAATTCGTACAAAGAGGCATAAAACAAGGCATAAATTAAAAAAAAAAAAAAAAAAAAAAAAAAAA